TAATGTGTATGGGATCACAGTATCTTAGGATCACCCGACTGATATTGAACTGGCTTGCTCCATATGTGGATAAACACCTAATCCCTAAATAAGGCAGCTTGTCCTGGAAAAGCAACAAGTCAGCTACTCAGTCTAACTCAACATACTGAGGACAGTTTTGAAAGAGGCCAAATCAGGGGAGCTGTGTTCATTGACCTAACAGCCACCTATGATACAGTTAACCAGCAATCACTCCTCCACAAGACCCTGGAAATGACACATGATGTGTGGGTATAATGAGGTGATGAAGATGTTCTCTTAATGTTTAATTTCCTTGACTTAATGGGTTGGTGTGGGAAGATTTTTCCCATAAGCAAACTTTAAGTCTTCAATGGAACACTGATTTATGGGAATTATATACATATACATACATACATACATATATATACACATACATACATACATACATACATATATGTGTGTGTGTGTGTGTGTGTGTGTGTGTGTGTGTGTGTAGAGAGAGAGAGAGAGAGAGGTTAAATAATGATGGGCTACAGTCCAGCTACTTAAAATAAGAAATCTGATGTGCTGGCACATTTTGATTTCTACTCATGTAAGATTATTTAAGATTGATTCTTACTGGCAGCAAGTGTTTGTCAAGAGGGGGCAGTTTTGACTAGGGAAGGCAACTGTGTGTGTAGGGTGGATAGCCTGAAAAAATTAGTGGCAGAATAAAAGCAATGGATGGTCTGAACAGGAAAGGCTTTAGCAAAGTCAGTAGGAGCAAATACATCTACAGCAGCCTTCCGTTTCCATTATTATTACAAAAGTGTGTTAGCAACTTTTATGCAATGTGGAATAACTTGGAACAGAGCACAAATGAGGATATATTTAAAATGCAACCTCTGTCTGTGGCCCTAATTCACTATTAAATTAATGTTGAAACATTGGGGGGGGGAGGGGAATGAAAAGATCTTGCCAAAAAGTAATAATACAAGTTTTTGAAGGTCAGATGCACTGGGACTTCTTGTTCTATTAAATGGCAGTGTCTGCCAGCTCCATACTCCAAACAGGAAACATATTCCATTGTTCAGTGTTGCTTTTACACAATAGGAAAGCATAAAATGATAACCATTATTGTAGCTAGCACCTCTGTAAACAGCTAAGGAAGGAAGAGATTAAAATACAAAGTTACCAGGACTCCAAACTAGAAGTTCAGTGCCACCTTTCTTTTGAAAAGAAATAGTGCCAGTAGCTTTAGGTTCCCTCTGTCATGGGGGAATGTTTTTGCAATGTCTCAGAGCTAATTAACAAAAGAACAGGAATTTGATTTGAAGGTCCCGGAGTCAAATAATTGCAAATATTGGATAATTTTCAGAAACGTTTCTTGTAAATTGTTATATTGGAGAAGAAATCTGACTATGCTGATCAAACTTCACTTCTGGGTTTCTCAGACATAAATGATAACTATTCCATCATAAGCTACATGTCAGTGTTATCTGTCATGTGTCCTTTTAAGCATTTTGACATTTTGAAGAAGGTTAATGGACCTGAAAGCCAAGCGAAATAAAGTCAAAACCGTATCTATGACAACACAGTAGAAAGAACAAGACAGAAAGAACTACCCCAGTGAAGATAGACTAAGGATGTGAGGCAGGAATGACAAGTGACTGCAAGGATAGGAAGAAATTCTACGCTGAAATCTTCCATTTGTTTAAAAAAGAAAAAGAGACAGAGACAGAAAGGGGAACATAGTGAAAGATTCAGTGTCTGTTAGGTGGAAAAAGTATTGGGTCTAACATGTAAAACTCCATATTGCGCATGTGTTACTTAATAATTTAATCAAACAGCCACTAGTTAAATATAATCATGATCAAAATTTCTACACAAAAATACCTCTAATAAATAAAGCTGATCAGAGAAATTGGAAACATTAATATGGATACAACACCAAATATTAAAACCAGTATAACAAGAGAAAATTTAATATTAACACACTGTGCTAAATAAAATTTAAATAGTCTGGTTTGCTAAATTTCATTGCCATATTTTCCCCACTGTAAAGTCAAAAACCCACCTTCACATTGACCTCTTCTATTCATTCGGTATCCACTGTCACAATATTCACATCTATACGAGCCGATAGTATTTATACAAAAGCCTTCTCCGCAGGTGTGAGGTCTCAAGCATTCATCGAAATCTGGGGATGGGAGAAATCAAAAGGAATACATAGGCTTAAATTAATCACGAAGTGGCCAAAGTACAAACTGTCTGCATTTTGTCCACACTATTTTCATAGATTTCAAAGACGTTAGGGCTGGAAGGGACCTCGAAGATCATCAAGTCAGCTTTTTTTAAGTTAAGGCAAGTTTGGATTTGCAAAATCTTTGATTGCTATTATATAAGCTCATAACTGCCATGTAGGATTTGCTAATCATGACTCCCAGCCATGTTTAAAGATATGACTGCAATAAATAAAAGCATCACAATAGCAGTCATGGGTACTTATGCTTCTCACCTCAGAAACGGTCTTTCATAAACAGTCATTTCTATCAGACTGTATGAAACCTTACTCTTGGATAGCTACCATTTTTGCAGGAGTGAAAGTGCTATGAAAGCACCCGCTATTCATTGTTCAACAGCAATTAAAATATTCACAGAGGACTGCCTAGTGTTGGCGATGCTGAGAAATGAACCATAATGAAAACAAAAAGTTCATGTTAATCTGCAGCACCTTTAGTGTAGTAACTCAGAGTACACAAAGGACTTCAAGGACCAATGGCAGCTTTACTTAATAGTTTAAGGCCCCTGGCAGATGTGCAGTTAAAGGTGTGATGGGATCTGATGTGAGATCCCTACAGTCATACTTCCTGCCATGCCACACATGCATGGCAGGAGGCATGATTGTGGGATCAAGCATCAGATCCCATCCTGCTGTATTGCTAGGAGATTGTGATCTCCATAAATGGCACTGAAAGTGCCTTCTGCAGCGGATCTTTTACGCTGCTTGCACCCCACCCTCACCTCTAATCGGTGGAGGGGAGCTGTTGGCCAGGCCATATGCTGCTAATTGCTGTGAAAGTGAAAACTTAGGCATATTTAAAACCTCTGCTAATTGGGTGCAAGCAGTGAAATGAAAAAACTTTAAAGAATCTGCAGCAGGGGGCACTTCTGGAGAGATTTATGGAGATCCCTACTTATTGCTGGTGCAGGGGGAGCCTGAGATCCTGATTCTGGGATCCCCCTGCACTGGTAAGTACCCAGCTCCCATGGCGGGGAGCCTTGTCAGCTGACAGGGTTCCCAAATCTGTCACTGTGGCTGGGAGCTCCAGCTTAGACACACATTCCATTAATAGCATGATAGGAACCAGCCGCAAAGTTATTACACAAAATGTGTGTAATAACTTTGCAGCTGGTTCCTGTGGATACAAAAATGTACAAAATATGGTACAAAACACATGTAATAACTTTATGGCTTACTCTTTGTTTTATCATGCCATTAACTGCATTAACATGTGGCCAGGTAACTACTTAAGATGTGCTTAACTGGTTAATAATGTCTTAAGTGTAATGTGTGCCAGGGGCCTAATGCAATTTTTTTCAAAGGCCAAGATAGAGACAACTGTATGGAGAAATTAATATTTCCCTTCTTCTACTTCTTTTAATTAAACATTATTTAAGATTACAAGCAGTAAAAGTAAAATTCAGCTGACATTATTAGAGAAATATGAAGTACAACTCTTATATTTGCATAATAAAATAGTAATTAAAAAAAGTTGAAGTTCCTCCTAAGACAAGGCTTTAACAAATGCAGTATAATATGCTATACATTAGGCCTCTGGCACACATTTATTTAATGGCACAATGGGATCTAATCTTCAATCCCAACAACTGTGCAATTTTGGGACTGGGGATCAGAACCCAATAGTTCCATTACTCCCTGCCAGTGCAGGTGGTACCCACACATGGGGCTGACAATCAGCTGACTGTTGGCCCCAACCCTGGGCAGTCCAAGGTCCAGTTCACTCTGCTGATTGTTGGCTCTGGCTCAGACAGTCCTGGGTACAAGATTTAAGGCTGTCAAGACTGGGGCTGACAATCAGCTGATCACCAAAACCCTGCTGTATGCAACTCTGGCCAGGCTGCCTGATACATGGGAGCAAAGGCTCACAGCAGGGACTTTAGACCCCACGGCATTGCAGCTTGGGTCCCAGGATTGGCAATCAGCTGATTGTCAGCCCCCAGACACATGTTAGTTCTAATGTGCCATACAAACAATCATGAAAGTGTTCTACCTTGTATGTGGAACATTTTTATGGCTTGTTCCCCAGTTTATGGCACCTTAAATTGGGTGCACATATAGTGCCCTTTCTATTTATGTCACAATTAACACATTAATCACAGCATAAATGTAACACGTAAGGGGGGGGTGGTGCTGGGAAAGCCTTAGAAACATAGTGGGAGAAATTCTGCTTTCAGTTAAATCCAGGGTAACTCTGGCCCTTGGAGTTCCCTTTAGCAAATTTGCTCACAGCTGGTTGCTCCCTCACTATATCAAGTCCCCAGTTTTATCCTATTTTTTGGAAGGTAATGGGTGATTCATAGGCAGGGGGTACAGGCAGATGTGGAGGGATATATGATCAAGGCAATGTATAAGTTTATATGAACAGTGCTTTCACACTGTGGGACTTAAAGATGTCAAAAAGCGAAAGTAGGGTAATGGATAACAGTGGAAACAGGATAGCTTTGTGAATTTGGGGCAGCTGCAAGGTCTGGGTCTGTTTTACAATTTTAATATTTTACCTTGCAGCCAGTTAGAAGTAAGTGGAGGGAAACATCACTTCATACCTACAGTGGCCAACAACTTTTAAAATAAGTTAAATCTGGAATCCTGTGTTCTTAAGTGTGTCCGTTTAAAGCTGTCAAGGATTTGAGGTTTTATCTTTTTCCTGTGAAATATCATAAGGAAAACAGTATCTTGATCTCACAGGGTCAGATCTAATGCTACTCAAGTAGGCAAGAGTTTTTATTTTGGCTTTCAAAAGGTTTGAGATACAGCTCTTTATGATTACTTTTGAAATCAAAATTTTCTTTTTTATAAAGATCAGTAATTACCAACGCAGTCTGTTCCTTCTTCATTAGCCATGAACCCTGCTTGGCAAATACATAGGAAACTTCCTTCTGTATTTTCACAGCGTCCAAGGGAGCATAAATGAGGTGTATGAGTACACTCATTAATATCTGTTAAGAAATAAAAATATAAGAGAGAGCAGTAGGCAGCAGTCAATCCTTCTGGATCACAATTTATGAATGAGAGGTCACCCAGACCTTCAACATATACAACTAAGCAAGGGAATGGAGGCTGCTCAGATCTTCCATCCCTCCTTTAGACAGAATCCAAAGGCCAAACTGAGTCCAGACATTCAGTGCTTCAATGGCTGTAGTTATGTGTACATCCAGGAATCAAACCTAGGTCTCCCACATGGCAGACAAGAACCACTGAACCATAACACGGGGTTAGCAACAGAGAAAAATATAGCATAATAGGTCATGACTTTTTTACCTACTCCATCCCACAAATACATGACTATGCAAAAAAAGGCCTTGTATTCTTTTAACTGTTTGAAAATGTACACGCTTTGATCTCTCAGTAAGCCAAAAAAGATGTATTAAAAGCACACTTACTGGCTTAATTTTTATGAGCATTGTATCTACCTGAAAAATAAGTAGTGGTCATTACTGAAATCTTTAAAAGTTCTATGTAACAACTTTTATTGCAAAAACACTATTTGTGAAGCACCCTACATTAAGCCTGTTTTGTTGTATTTTCTTCATTTGGATATGAAAACGTTGTGTCATTTCTTGAGGACTATGGGCTTTCTACGGGAAAAGTTCTGATGCTTTTGTTCAGGCAAAATAGCACCACTGACTTCAGCAG